AACCACTCCAGTATCTTTGCCAAGAAAATCCCAAATGGGGTCATGAAGAGTTGAACAAGACTGAAGACCACTGAACAACAAAAATCACTTTAGTAGAATATAAATTGCTTGAGACTTTGTTGTTTCGTTCTTTGTATTTATATCTCCAGCACCCAGTACAGGGCCAAAAACATAACAGGTACTTAATAAACACTGATTGGTTGAGACCATAAAATTCATCATCTTATAGTCAATTAGGTGATGAATCTTAGCCAGTTTAGTCCTAAAGAACAGATACATTGTCCATAACTAGGTCCATATTCAAAGACTTTCCAACTTGATAGAGTCTGTTACAACCTGGATTTCTCTGGCAAAGCCTTCAAAAACTTATGACTACCTCCATGCCATAATGAGTCATCAGAGTAGGGTTTTAATGAGTGGAGATACATAACATCTTTTCTCTTTTTTTTTCTTACTGTGGACACTAACTTAAACAACATTACAGACCTCTCAGACAACTCTTTCAGTGAAGCATCTAAATGTTCAACATTGAATAGAAATAGATGCTTCAACATGCATTTTCCAAAATGATGATCCCTCTTTTAATAGACCTTACAGATTTAATTTGTGCTACTGAATAATAATAGTTAACATATATCAACATGAATTAATGCTCGATATGAACTTTCATATATGCATATATATATATATGAACTATTATTATTGTTTTAGGAAAGACTTGGCATTTGGCTAGTTTTTTCAAAGGAATTGAAATCTCCTGGATAGGTTGAGGCTTTGTATATTTCTGACTTTCAACTTGGAAAATGGAAGATACATGTGTGTGTGTATGTACATATCCATACATATCTATATACATACATCTATATTTTATATATACACACATATACCACATATACATATATAATATATACATACATACACATATAACCTTTACTTGCCTCAGTTTTCTCAACTGTAAAATGGAAATAACAATAGCATCTCCTTCCCAGGGTTGTTGTGAACATGAAATGAGATAATATTTATAAAGTGCTTAGAACAATGCCTAGCACATAGCAAGCACTACATAAATGTTAGCTATCATTTTTATTACTATTATTATCTATTATTATTATAATTATTGAAAGTTTCCAAAGCTCCTTCCTCAAAACAGCCCTGTAAAGTATACAGTGTTATCTTCACTTTGCTAATGAGTAAACTGAAGACTACAGAAGTTAAATCACTTGTATGTAACTACGTGACAGAGCCAAGACGTCAACCTCCATCTGCTGAGTATTGAAGCTCCTGTGTGTTCTTTGTATTACAGTTTCCAGTCTCAAAGTGCTGAAGGTGACCTCTGATTTCTCTAGAGCTCTCTCCCTGTCTCTCATCATTACCTATGTCTTCTCCTGTCCACTCGATTGCGGGCTCTTGGAGGTCAGAGATCATGTCCATTTCACTTCTGAATCCTCAACACTTCACATGGGGGATTGGGCATAGTAGATGTTTAATAAGTGTTTGTTATTATTGTTGAACCTGAAAAATTAGATGCAAAAGTGACCCTGGAAGATGAAAGAGGTCTCTCCCTATTCCCTTAAAATATGTAACATCATTTCCAAGGATGGTGGGGGTAGGGATAAAATTATGATCCCTCTATTAATAGACTTTACAAACAGATTTCATTTGCATTACTGAATGACATTTTATTAATACTGGAATCCTACTAGGACATTCTTCAAATTGGCTTCTTACATCAAAGTTATCTGAGTAATTAAGTTTTTTTTAAGTGTTGTCAGTTTTGATACCATATTTTCACCTAGCCCTTAATGTTGATTTGAAAATAGTAGTCTTAATTATGACAAAGAAACCAAGTCAAATGGGGGTGGGGGGATTAATAACATTTAGTGGGTTTTACATTATTTCATTCCTATTCTTTATGATTAAGAAATCATTCTGGTAGTTTCCTTTCAGTTATGACAAGAATTCATTTTTTTTCCCCATCATTTTCATTGGAATACCAAAAGGGGTTTAGCATCACAATGCTTGGGTAATCTCATTCAGCCTTGAAGCTGACTAAGCCCTAGCCAGTGCTTAAAGGTCAGAATGTTCATAGTTTACAGCTAAAAGTTATATTCCCTATCCTCTTCTGCCATCCATGCATTTCTTCAGTAGCCTTATCTCAGGCTGAGCTCTGAGCATTTTGTTTCTTCCCCACCAAAACAGGTATAGTCATCCTTCAGGAACAATTCTTTCCTCAAGAGATTTTTCTCCACAAGGCAGACAGGCTTAAAAGTTACTTGCCAAAAGTTTTTCTGCACTTTGGATCAAACCAAAGTGTTAATAGGATATCCAATTGACTCAAAATAGAACATAATTCTTCAATCCCATATCTAATAATACCTGGTTTGGCATTTGACTAAGATACAGATTTGGACCAGTTTAGCCAGCTCTTGTCAGACAACAGAGTATTCCTTCTGTTGGGTCAAGGTAGGTTCTTAGGAAACACTTTCAATTCTAGGATGGAGGCACGGCAGGCAGAATTTTTAAAAAGAACCAGCAGCCATAAATCCATTGGAAAGGGGAAAGGAATACTACACTATAAAATGCCAGGGTGTGACCCCAGGCATTTATCAGCTAACTTGAGATGGGTAAGTGTAAAGTAAAGGGTTTAAACTGGTGACCTTTAAGGAATGAAGTAGCAAAGAGACATAAAGTCATGAAATGGCATCCAGACATTCCACTCACCCAGCAAATAAAGCACCACATGGTCCAACTGTGCCATCATCATATGCAGGCCAAGATACATAGCTGAGCATTTACATAGCATGTTGCACATATCAAGGGCAGCAGCCATTGTAGGGGTGGGACAGACCTTCAGCATGACACAGCAGGAACGGCTGGGACCCCTTCTGCCCCAGACTCATCTCAACAGTTAAGTGTCACTCTTCTGATCCCAAAGCACTCCCAAGAGCCTGCCTTGGCAGTGCAAGCAGAACTTTTACCCTCATGACTGAGGAACCAGGTTGGGTCTTCCAAAATGTCTCAATAGTCTATTAGCAAGATGTCTGCCTACCTTATGGAAGCTGCCATTGATCTAATTTCTTAGCCATCTCCTTTCCATTACTCAAGCTTTAGAGAAGAGGAAAGAAAGATGAACTTGGGAGTCAAAGGACCTGAGTTCAAATCCCCACTTTTTCATATATTATTGCCTGAGTGATCTTAAGCAACCAACATGGGTCTCAATTTCCTCTATTAAAATGAGGAGAGAGGATTGGACTATATATCCTTTATGATTCTTATTTAATCTTTCTGTGCCTCAGTTTCTTCATCTGCAAGATGAAGGGGTTGGACTAGATATCATTTCTGATCTGTATTTAACTTTTCTGTGCCTCAGTTTCTTCATCTGCCAAATGAGAGGGCTTGGATAGGATGACTTCTATGGTCCTCACTTAACCTATGACTTAGCTTTCTCATCTGTAAAATAAGGAGTTGGACTCAATGACCTCTAAGATAGCTTCTAGCTGAATCAAAATGTCACTCCCTGTGTTGTTCTGCTAACTGTCACTTCGTTCCCCTGCCTAGGGGTAAGAAAGTTGTTTCTCCTGCATTAGTTCATTTCTTAGATGCTTAAAGTCTTTGGATGAGGATTCTAAACTCGTTCAAATACCCTGCTGAATATTCAATAATATTGATAAATGTATCCCACTAGCTTCTGACAAGGGCCACAGTGAGTTCCCCTTCCCACACTAGGTCTAGGTCAGTGGGCCAACAAAAGTGGAAAGCTTTTGTCTGGCTGGCTTAAGTCTCTTTCTTATTTTCCCTCCACTGCACTCTCTGACTTTTTCCCAAAGCCCTCCTGTCTTTCCTCATTCTGTCCTCCACTCCCCACTGTCTCTCAGATAGCAATTCTAAGGAAAAGAAGGGAATGTTCCAATGGTACATTCCCTCTCATGGACTGAAATGGATGCCTTGTACTAAGCAACAGGTTGGAGACCCACCCAGGGATTAAAGGAGAGAGAGGGAGAGGGTTTCAGACTTTAAACTTAAGGATGTATCCATCTGGAATTTCTCTATCTGTATAAAGAAAAGCAGTGGTTTTGGGATCACTGTCGAACAATCCCAATTTGGCCCCCTTCCCCATTCATTTCCAACTTCCCACCAGGAAAAAAGTTTCTTTAAACCTGAAATGAACGTGTCAGACAAAGACCTTAAAAGTCAGTTATTGGCACGTGCAGCAATTTCTGTTTCCTCTCGTCTTAATAGGCATTTAGAAAACAGATTTCTATTTTTTGTTTACAAAGTTGCACTCCTTGGCAGTGCTCACCCTCACAAGGCACCTGCTGCTAAAAAAGAAAAAAACTGGATTCCCACCAAGGCTAAAGGCAGAGCTCCAGAGGAGACCAATTACAAGTAAATAATTATTCCCTGAACCTGGAATTCTCTTCCAAAATCAGATTCTGGTCTGCTACTTATAGTCTCTATTTCTCCCCTTCACTGATTTTGACTCCCTACCTAAGCTTGCTGGTAGGTGCCAAGGAGGGAGGGGTTTCCCCCTTTGGAAATCATTTGTTTAAGGTATCTTTACAAGCTGTAGGGTTCAGAGGGTGCCATCTGCTTCCCCAATTCCCAACATAGAGCAGTGAACTACAAGTGTCATTACTCCTGATAGCACCCAGAATGTAAAACAGACTGATTCCGCTGTGAAAACAGGTGCGCCCCCCAGCAAATTCGAGTTTAAATAGCTTCAAACACACACACACACACACACACACACACACACACACACACACACACACGAACAATCTAAGAGGTTAGCACTGATATTCTCATTTACTGTTGCTTTCTAATTGGTAGCAGATTAGGGATAAGGATTGCAGGAAACAAATGAAGCCCCCGCTCTTTTCTCCCTCTTTTCCCCCTCCTGAAAAAGATCAGCAAACATAACAAACTTAAACAGAGAAGGAACAAGAAAGATCCAGCGAGTCTTCACAGAAACACGAATCTAGTTCAGTCCCCGCACTTACCCGCACAAGTTAAACGCCCTTCCCCGTGGGCTGAACGCAGAGGGTAACTCGTGTTCTCCTGAAGCTGCGGGGCTGGGAGACTGGCCAGGCTAAACGCAAAGCCCACTGGCCAGGGAAGGAGGAATAGCCACACCATGGCGAGCTCTCTCAACTGTCAACTGAGAGCAACTTGGCTGGGCTCAGTCATGGCGAGAGCAACGGACATCCGTATCCCTCCCAGCGGTTCTTGGGCTTCTTTGCCTAGTGCCCTGTATCATTTCTTTCCCCCTCACCCCACCTCTGACTTTTCTCCTGTAAACTAAAGGCGAGTCTATCCTGCTACAACTTTTCCTCTCTTGTTTCAAGAAACTCCAGCAAGAGATTTCTTCCACCTGGAGTGGGGAGAGGGTGGAAGCAAGTATGAAATACCTGACACTCTAATGACAAATTTAACACAGTTTAGCAGCACAGCCCCCAAGGACGAGTACAGGCTTTATTACAACAAGCTTAGGTGGGAAACAAAAGTAAGGAAGAAAGAGAGAGGAGAAGAAGAAAAGAAAGAGAAAAAGAGAGAGAGAAAGAAAGAAAGAAAGAAAGAAAGAAAGAAAGAAAGAAAGAAAGAAAGAAAGAAAGAAAGAAAGAAAGAAAGAAAGAAAGAAAGAAAGAAAGAAAGAAAGAAAGAAAGAAAAAAGAGGAAAAGAAAAGGGAGGAAGGAAGGAAGAAAGAAAAAAGAGGAAAAGAAAAGGGAGGAAGGAAGGAAGAAGAACTGGTGAAAAACTTCTAACTAAGCACAGCCCTTGGGTAAGGCTAAAGGAAGAAACGGAGAAATTACTCCTTGCTCAGCACAGTTCCTCCTTCTTCAGGCTTGGAATGACTCCCTTTTCCTTTTTAAAGCCCTGTTTGCTCCACCTCCTCTCAGTGCCACTTGAGTGAAGCCTCTCTTTGCAAATATGTATGTGGGCAACTCCGAAAGACAAGAGAGTGGGGAAATCAGCCAAAAAAATGGAAATCTAACCATGCATAAGAAATAGTCTGAGCAATAAAATAAAAGCGGGGTGGAGGGCCTCTGAGGAGGGGAGGATTTCAAAGATGTACTGTTAAGGGTTGATTGCACTCCAGCATCTCAGAAGTGAGGACGAAAAGTTAAGCACAGGCTGTATTGCTCTGGTGATTTCATCAGTGTCAGGAGCATCTATACAAGCAAGACAAACCTGGACTACAATGGCATGTATAATGACAGAGAGTTGCCTAGAACACTAATAGGTTAAATGTCATGCCCAGGGTCACATAGCCTATATGTGCCAGAGACAGGACTTGAACACAGGTCTTCCCAACTGGAAGCTATTTATCTATCCCTATGTTACAATGCCTTTCATCCTCATTAAGACCACTGCCAACTTGTATTTATTCATATGAATTGGCCATCTGTCTCAACATTGCTAGCTCCCCACTAGTTCACAGCAATCTCTTTTTTTAATGGAACCTCTGAATACATTGTCATAGGGACCACTGAGGCCAACTCTGTATGCACTACACCAGCAGCCCGTAACACTCCTGAGTAATGCTGGAACCAGATTAAAATGCGACTCCTATATGATTTTAATGAATTGATGTAGTAATAATATATATATATATACATATATATATATAAACATGTACCTTCCTAAGTCAATATGAGGCCTGCAGGGATCCCTTTGTATGGTTTAGTGACACCTATTTCTATTTGGTTTGTCACTGCGTATTACACTACCATACCACCTTGGTCACTATTTTAATAAAATCCCGATGTGATCACACCTTTGTGGATTTCAATCTTTTTCCCTTGCTATGGACCTTTCAGAAGCCTCAGCATCAGGAAGGTCTACATTCACATAGTTCCTCTGACATATTGACTGTGTGACCCTAGGCAACTCACCTATCAGCTGTAGAGCAGGTGCCCATCTTTATTGGAAAAGACCTTTTCTCATCAGCAGTTCCCCATACTGATTAAAAGATATTTCCAGTCTCAAAAAAAATATACAGAATTATTTTGAGAGTTGATTCAAAGGAAAAATTGGAAACTCTCACAGGGGGACATCAAATATACAGAGACACAACTTAACCAAGTTAGAATAGAGTGAAAGCCCAGGAAGCATGGCCTATTGTTATTATAATACCAACTCTGGAAAAAAATGTTAAAAGCTAATGATGTAACAGCTGGAAATTTTGGTAAGTGCCCAAACCCAGCACTTCTGTATGCCAGGCTGTCTTTGCAGGGATTGACAAGGCATGATGAGAGAAAACAAGCAGGACGAACAATCATTAGCTGTGCCCTGTGCTCTGCCCTTCACTTGCAGCAGCAGATGAGGGACTATTTCTTCATGTTTACACATGGCTGATGTATAGTGACATTCAGTTTCAACAGTCCCTTCACCCAGACTTGAAGTACAATGGAAAATTCAACAGGACAGGCTTTCATTCAAGCTACCCTGAGTGGCATCTTAAGGATGTGTGTCTGAATGGACATAAAGCCATGGTCACACAAAGGATGACAAGTCCACTTCCTTCTAAAGGAGGCTGAGGCCCTGGTCTAGGTCATGGAAATCCTTTGTCATGCTCTCTAGTTTTAAATTATGTAAGCAGTTATGTCCTGCTTGTCCCACAAAGAATGTCGCTTTTCCATAACTACCCAGAGCAGGTTTTCTCTAGCTCTGGCCAGCCTCTCCCAGGAAGCTCTTACCTCTTCTAGAAGAGGCCAAAGGAAAATGAAGGAAGTGGCAATATGGGGACATTGGATCGTTTTTCTAGACTCACCCAAATTCAGGCCACACAGAGTGCATATGGAATGATCTGTACTAATGACTCAACCCACCAGCCCAGGTCTCACAAATTAGCAGACATTTTTAAAAATTGTTTCCAGCACTTCCCATAGTCCCCCAAAATCATAAATGATAGCCTTATAAAGGCAAGGTAATACAGCCAACTCACATTCATCTATACTAAGAAGAGCAAGGAAAAGCTTATCTAAGATAACTCATACATCAGATTTGGCTGTCAAGTATTTGACAGAATTTGGGAGGGTGTAAAAGAGGAACTTCTTCCCTAATTAGGTTTTGCTTAAGTTTTTATTATTGCAATTAATTTGTATAACCTGAGCAAATTAGGTAAGTCAGGAAGTACAAAGTATGAACACAGGAGCTGCCTGGATGGTTACTTTGGGATTTTTTAAAAAGTCAATTTCAGGTGCAGCTAGGTGGTACAGTGGATAGAGCACCAGCCCCGAAGTCAGGAAGAACTGAGTTCCAATCCAGCCTCAGACTAAACACTTGACACTTACTAGCTGTGTGACCCTGGGCAAGTTACTTAACACCAATTGCCTATAAAGGAAAAAAAAAAGTCTATTTCAGATGATTCGTAAAACAAATTAACCACATAAAAATAGCTTTTTACATAGCAAAGCCATAGAAACATAGAACCATAGATGGCAGAAGGGAAATCCAGAGTCATCTAATAACCTTGTCTTCTTGCTTCTGGGTAGGCCTAAGTCTAACCTACTTGGAGCAGATAAGTAGCCCTTCCCTTTAAAAGACTTTTCCCAATAATATTAGTTCAATGACTTAATTTTCAATCTGAGTCCCCAGCTCTTGGCACAGTACCTGGAGCATAGTAAGCCTAATAAATGCTTAATAAACAATTGTTTATTGAGGTTTTTTTTTTTAATGTTTTGGAGACTTCCAGATTTCTTTCCTGCCTAATCTAATTCCTTTCAGTCTCTGGGACTAAAAGAAAGCAGTGAACAAATATTTGCTGTATGTTCAGGGAATGACGGATCTGGAAAAGAAATCAGAAGATATTTAGTCCTGCCCACTCATTTTATAGATGAGAAATCTGAAACCCAGAAATGATAAATGAGTTGCCCAAGGTCACATAAGCAACAAAGTCAGTATTCAAATTGAAGGCTCCGATTTTTAAATATAGCACATTTACCATTGCAAAACACTGTCTCCTGTGGTTTCTCTAAACTACAAGATTAATCAACTTTTTTATTTAACAAGCATTAATTAAGTACCTACTATGTTCCAGATACTGTGCTAAGTGCTTTACAAATATCATCTCATTTTATCCTCATAACAAACCTGGAAGGTAAGTGTTATTATAATCTCAATTGAACAGTTGAAGAAATAGAGGCAGACAGAAGTTAAATGACTTACCCAGGGTCATATAACCACTATGTGTCTGAAGCCAAATTTGATCTTGGGTTTTTCTGACTTCAGGTCCAATGTTCTATCTAAGGTGTCACCTAGCTACTCCTAACATGGCATACATTCCTGAAAAACAAAACATTAGAGTATATCATTTAAGGATTGGCTTGTGAATATTTAGAAATGCAAACAGTGGTCATTAAGCACCAACATGGATTCACTGTTTGGCAAACCAATGCAAACTAACTTCCTTTTCTGATGGAGTGAAGCAGCCTGTCTTAGTGGGGAAAGAGATGGCCTAAGGATCAGAAGACCTGGGTTCAGGTCCTACCTGTGACACATGCTGACTCTGGGACACTGGGTAAATCACTTAACTTCTCAGTGACCCAGGGGATTCTATAATATTCTATGTTTTAGGAAGGTAATTGGTCTGCATCAGTGCCCAATAAAGCCACACATCCCATCCAAAAAAAAATCCAAAACACTTGACTCAATGGATAAACTCAAGGAAATGCTATAGACTGATTATGCCTCCATTTTAGTAAAGCATTTGAATATGAACGGAAAAATACTTCAATTAAATGAATTTAGGACTGGTTAGAAAACTGGGCTGAAATACTGTTATGTAATGTAATGATTCAATATTAGCCTGCAAAGAAATCTCAAGAAGAGTATCATAGGGTTGGACCTGTTCGATTCAATATTCATATCAATGACTTAAACATAGATAGCATTCTTAGCAGATTTTCAGATCATATAAAGCTGTGAAAAATAGAAAACATTCTGGATATAAATTAGAATTCTAACAAGAGATCGAAATGCTAGAATTACAAACTGAGTCTAGTAAAATAATGTGTGTGTGTGTGTGTGTGTGTGTGTGTGTGTGTGTGTGTGTG